GAGGGGCTGCAGCGTGTCCAGAGAAGGGCAACGAGGCTGGGGAAGGGGCTGGAGCACAAGTGCTGGGAGGAGCAGCTGAGGGAGCTGGGGGGGCTCAGCCTGGACAGGAGGAGGCTCAGGGGGGACCTTCTCACTCTCTGCCACCCCCTGACAGGAGGGGGAGCCGGGGGGGGTCGGGCTCTGCTCCCAAGAACCAGCAGCAGGACAAGAGGGCACAGCCTTGAGCTGCCCCAGGGCAGGTTTAGGATGGACATTGGGAAGTTCTTCCCAGAGAGAGGGATCAGCCACTGGAAGGGGCTGCCCAGGGAGGGGGTGGAATCCCCGTCCCTGGAGGGGTTTAATTGGCCCAATTAAAGTGGACGGTTGCTCATTTCAAAATCGAGGACAAATCACACCTAAGCCACGTTTTGCTGTATTTGTAACCCATTATTCAACATTAACAATCCCATTATGCATCTCCAGCAACTGGCTTTAATGGAGGATTTGCAGGTCTTGCTTCTCTGAGTTGCTCTGGTGAAATGAGTTTTTCATCCTTGTCTCTCCGCAGGGAAACAGAGATGAGGGAACATTTGTGGATGAGACCCTTGCTCAGCAAGATGCTCAGGTGTGTGGCAGTCTGTTCCTTGCAGGAGCTGTTGGGTTTGTCCGTGTGATCCCTGCTGCAGCCCTGCTTTGTCAGGACCTTGGTTTCTTTCAAGGGAGATGAGGAAGCCTGAACTGTGCTGGACAGCAGCCCCAGGTGGAAACCAGATGGGATATGAGGAAAAATGTGTTGTCCAGCCCAGGGCAGAGGTGGAGTCCCCATCCTGTGGGGATTTAACAGCCATGGGGACATGGGTCAGTGCTGGGGGAACGGTTGGACTCAATGATCCCACAGGGCTTTTCCAACCCTAATGATTCTATGGAGTAGAAACCTCCTGATGGGCACGTGATCTTCTCAATCAGCCTCATTTTGTCTCTTCATAATGTCTTCAAGTGCCTGTATGAAGCTGGGGAGAAGAAATGGGGAACAGATGAGGTGCAGTTCATGTCCATCCTCTGCACACGGAACAGGTGCCACCTGCTGAGAGGTAGGACCTCTGGGATGTCCTGGACTTCTATTCCTTGTGTGAGGACAGTGCTTTTGGAGGAGCTTTGTGCTTGTTCAGCAACTGATTGTGACCCTTTCCTAAAACAACAGGTATCATCAGGGCCAGTTCCATTCAATTCTTTTAGGCTGCTTTAGTCCCTCCTGAGACAAAAAGAGATAAACATCCCTGCAACTTGCCCCAGCCTGTAAATCTGAGAAAATGAAGAGTGACTCCCATGGGGCAGAGCCAGGCATGGACACTGCCTTCATTAACCAGCAGTTCTTGAAAATCCTTGCAGCAGTGGTAGGGCAATTAGCAAGAGAGCTGCTAATTAAAATGAATTATTTCTGAGGGGCAGCCCTGATTTAACTTACAGTGTCACGATAATGGTGCAGTGTTCATACAGAGCAGGAGGAGCTTGATCTTGCAAAGTGATCCCCGGGGTTTACACACTCTGTGCCCTGGAGCAGCTCACTGGCTCCTTTTATCCCCCCCCTCTTCCTCCTAGTTTTTGATGTGTACAGAGGGATTGCTAATAAGGACATCACAGAGAGCATCAAATCCGAGATGTCAGGAGACCTCGAGGACGCTTTGCTAGCTGTGGGTGAGTTCCCTGCTTTTAAACTTTGTCTACAAACTGATTAAATAATTAAAGACCCTGTCTCTTGCCCTGGCTGTGTACACAGCTTCAGGAGGCAGATACTGTCTGTCTTTTTTTTACAAGCCACAGTGCTTTAATCTTTGCAGATAAAACCTGGGGAGAAGGCTCTGTGCTTTATTTTTCTTTCCCAAGGGATGCTTTGGGAGCTGACATTTGCTGTCAGGAAGCTTTAAAGCCTTAAAAATATTTTATTACTGCGCACTGAGCATGGAGACATCAGTTGACAGCAGGTCACTGGATGTCTGCACTGTGCTTGCTGACTTGCATCTTTACAGAGTAAACACCTGCACTGAGAAAGGGCTGGAAGGGTTTGGAAGATCTTGTCCTTGAGGGTTTGTTTGCCTTATTTCTCCTGTTCTTGTCCCCCTTGCAGTGAAGTGCATGCGGAATAAACCTGCGTATTTTGCTGAAAGATTGTACAAATCCATGAAGGTAAAGGAGATTGGTATTTCCCCCCCTGCCTTTCCATGCTTGAATCAGTAGCATGACAGCAATCATTACAGAAAGAAACTCTGTGTTAACTGGGGGGAATCTGAGCTTTCCTATGGGACCTCCTTTCCCTCAGGAAGCCCAGAGCTGGTGGTGGATCACTGCATTAATGGAAAAATGCTCTAATTAGGAACAGATCCTGCAGAAAGCCGAGTGATCAGACCTTTGTGTCTGTCACTGAGCTGCCCAAAGTGCCTTGCAGCTGAGGCTGGTTGCTCTGTTTCCCAGGGCTTGGGCACAGATGACAGCACGCTGATCCGGGTGATGGTGTCCCGCTCGGAAATAGATATGCTGTACATCCGGAGGGAATTCCTGTCCATGTATGGCAAATCACTCCACTCCTTCATTAAGGTAAGCTCTGCAATGTTAGAGACACAGGAGACACCTCTGGGGTATTTTAGAGGGAGTGGAATTAAGGAGGTTTTACATTTATGTACTGAAAACGTCCCTGAGTGTTCTTGGTTATTAAATTGTCAAAGGGGATTCAAACCCTACAACAAATCCTATGTGCTGGAAGGAGTCCTGCCTTGTATGGAGCTGTAAAATTAATTGTGTTCCTTTTCTCTGCTCTCTCTAGGGAGATTGCTCAGGAGACTACAGGAAAGTTCTGCTCAGACTCTGTGGTGGGGAGGATTAAAGGAGGCCTGGGGAACTGTCTGGGTGAGGGGAAACAGCTGATCATAGAATTGTTTAGGTTGGAAAAGATCTTTAATTATTTCTTTCATGTATTTTTCTTCCCAAATACCTTGTTAATTGCTCTGATTTTTGCCTTAGGTTAGTTCATGCTCTGGTTGGTAATGGCCATTCTGGTTGACCATGGCCAATCTGCTTTTATGCTTGGCACACCCATTTGCCTACTAATTGGGCTGGTAAAGCCCAGCTTAACCAGAATGCTGTAACCAAAGATAGGAAAGCTAAATTGTTTCCTGACCAGATGCCCCTTTGCTGTTGTGTTCACCAGCAAAACACGTCAACTGAAGCAAACCTGGATGCAGAGTGTGAGAGGATGCCCAGGGGAAAACTAACCCATCAGTACATGGAGAGTGCAGAACACAGCCTTGCTTCAGTTTATTGAGATAATTAAGACACAAAGAATCAGAATATCTAAAATGCAAGCACGTTTACATCTTAACTTGCCCTCTGTTAGTGTGGAGCATTAACAGCCTGGCTGCACTGTATGTGTGTGTTGCCCAGAGGTCTGTTCATGGGGAAGATGTCACTGGTGACATCAGAAAAGCCTCCTGCTGCCCTGGTCAGAGCAGCCCCGTGTGCTTGGTCTGTCTTCTTCACTCACGGGAGTATAAATAATAATGGTTATGTTACAAAGCCTCCTCTGGATAAAGTGATGTCACTAGAATGGTGCCTTTTAGGGAGTGACCTGTCCCTCATCGGCCTGGTGCTGGGGCAGCTCCCCAGATCTCCCTGGGGCAACTGTCCAAATCTCCCAGGGTCAGCTCCCCAGATGTCCCTGGGACACCTCCCCAGTCTCCCGCACGTGCTGGCTCCAGCCCCACGTCACAGGATCATCAGGGTGTTTGTGCCTGGGTCTCACCTGGGCTTCCACACCAACCTCTGGGAGAGACATTTTCCCCAGCCCCTCCACACCTGCCTGTTCACCTGAGCGCTGTTTTCACTACAAAAACAGGGTTCTTGTTTGGCTTAGCCACTTATTTTTTACTGCTGGGGAATAATCCTGTTCTGAAGGATCAGACTGATGTTGGAATGTCACAGCTGAAACACTGAGGTGGCTGCACCCAGTTCCATCACTCATTTTCCTCTGAAAAAGAGGCTGGAATAGGAGATGCCTCTGTGGCCTTCAATAAAATAGTTTTCTTTCTCACTCCTTGGGCTGCCAGTGGAGAAACATTCCTGACTTTTGCTGGGGGAGGAGGCAGAGCTTTATCCAGCTCTCCCAAGGCCTCTGCTCAGGACAGGGAAGTGTCTGTGCCCAGCACAGGGGCTGCCGAAGGTGCTTGGGTGGGGAGTGGGTTCCAGTGCCTTGTGTCAGGTTGCTGAGCTTTGAAAAATGAATAAAGAAATTTGTTTCTGTACTTCCTGCCCCGGTGGCGTGTCCTGCCCGGACTCCTGTCCTGCTGTGCCCCAAAAACCCTAGGGAGCTTCAAGCCCTGCTGTGCCCCAAAAACCCTAGGGAGCTTCAAGCCCCCCGAAGCCCCTGGGGATCTTCGAACCCCCCAAAGCCCTTCTCGCCCCCTCTTCCCACCTGCTCTGCCCTCTCTGCCCTCTTTGCCCTGGCCTTCAGCAGCGCTGCTCCACACACTGCTGAGGATTTCACCCAATCCACACGAAATGCCACACGAATTGAGAGGCTCCCATCTACCCTGGTAATTAATTTATACAGAAGCTGCTTGGGGGATTTTAAATGCTCACCCCTTCTGCTTCTCCCTGTTCCGAAGATCCCAGGGGAATTCACCCAGTGCTGGCAGTGGGATGTTTGGAGATGGGAGGCTCCGGACATGGTGCCACATCTCGGTCACCGAACTCTTATGGAAACTTCCCAGCCTGGCCATTCCTGAGGCTCTCTGGCCATCACCCTCCCAACACCAGAGACTTCCACTGCTGGGGCTGGAGCCCAGGGCCTGATCTTACCCTTTGAGTGTGTCATTACTGGAGTGTTGCAAATGGTGGGAAGAATGCCACGTTTTGCAGAGGAGGGGATCATGTGGTGTTCCGGGCTCTGGCAGAGCCTGGGTCCTGCAGCCTAATGAACCCATCCAGCAGGAAGTGTCTGATCCCTGGAGAACCCCCTGGGGTGGGCAGCAAAATTTCAGTTCAAGGGGCAGGAAAAGGCCCATCCCTGGGTTGGGAAAAGATCCCATCCTGGGGTGGGAAAAGGCACGTTCAGGGTCAGGAAAAAGCCCATTCCTGGGTCTGGAAAAGGCACATTCAGGGGCACAAAAAGGTCCATTCCTGGGTCTGGAAAAGGCCCGCTCAGGGGCAGAGAAAGGTCTGTTTGTGGGGCACGAGAAGGCCCATTCCCGGAGCACAAAAAAGGCCCATTCCTGGAACACAAAAATGTCTATTCCCGGGTTGGGAAAAGGCCTGCTCAGGGGCAGAAAAAGGCCCGTTCCTGGGTCAGGAAGGGCCCTCCAGGGGCACGAAAAGGCCCGCTAGGGGCAGGAAATGTTCCTGGTCCCGAGTCAGGAAAAGGCCTGTTCCTGGATCAAGAAAAAGATTCCCATTCAGGATCAGTAAAAGGCCCGTTCCCGGATAGCAAAAGGCCCGTTGAGAGCAGGAATGTTCCCGTTCCCGGGTCAGGAAAAGGCCCATTCAGGATCAGGAAAAGGCCCGTTTGGGGCAGGAACTGTTCCCGTTCCCGTTCCCAGCCAGCACAGGGCCCGTCAGGGGCAGGAACTGTTCCCGTTCCCGTTCAGTATCAGGAAAAGGCCCGTTAGGGGCAGGAACTGTTCCCGTTCCCGTTCCCGTTCCCGGCCAGCACGGGGCCCGTCAGGGGCAGGAACTGTTCCCGTTCCCGTTCCCGGCCAGCACGGGGCCCGTCAGGGGCAGGAACTGTTCCCGTTCCCGGCCAGCACAGGGCCCGTCAGGGGCAGGAACTGTTCCCGTTCCCGTTCCCGGCCAGCACGGGGCCCGTCACGGGCAGGAACTGTTCCCGTTCCCGGCAAGCCCGTCCGGGGCGGTCGGGCCGCGCAGGCGCAGGCGGTGCGGGGGTCGCTGCCGGTGCCGCTGCCGATCCCGCTCCGGCCCCGCTCGGCGCGGCCTCATGAGGGGGCCGGGCCGGCCATGGGCGCCCTGGGCAGCCGCGTCCTGCGGCGGAGGGGGCCCGTCCCGCGGGGCGAGGCGGCGGCGGCGGGCAGGGCCGGCAGGAACGGCAAGAGGAAGCGCGGCGGGGCCGCCGAGGGGCCCGGGGACAGCGACAGCGACGGCGACACCGAGCGGGACGAGCGGCTGCTGCACCCGCGGGGCCGCAGGTCCGGGGGCCGCGGGGACCCGGGCGGGGGGGGGGGGGCACGGCGGGCACATCCCCGCCCCGCTCGGGGAGGGCTATCGAGGCCCTCTGGGTTTAGTCCTTGGAGTTATCGTGTCCTGAATTCTTTTTTTGTTGTTGTTTTGTTGTTGTTGTTGTTTTGTTTGTTTGTTCCCCCCCCCATTTCCCCCTCAGATTTCCCCGAATTTCACCGCTTTTCCACATTTTCCCGGGTTTCTTTACGTTCGCTCTATTCCCCCCCCCAATTTCCCAACGTTTCCCCCGAAATTTCACCAGTTCCCTCAAATTCTCCAAATCTTCCCCTTCAAGTTTAGCAAAGCTTCCGCACCTTAATCCAAACTTGCTGTAATTTTCCCCAGATGTACCCAATTTTATGAATTTCCCCCCAGATTTCCCCATTTTCCCAAATGTGCCCCAAACTTCCCCGTTTTTGGCCCACATTCCCGCGTGTTTGCTCAAATTTCTTCATTTCCCCCTAAATTTCCCTAATTTTTCCTCAAACTGCCCCATTTTCTCAGAATTTTCCCAAAATATTCCCATTTTCACCAGAATCTCCTCATTTCTGCTTCAAATCACCCTAAATTTCATCAGCTTTACCAAATTTCCTAATTTGATGAAATTTGGAGAAACGTGGAGAATATTTTGAGAATACCTTGGAATTCTGGGAAATACTGGATTTCCAGGGGGATTTGGGGCCAATTTATCTCCTTTTTGGGCCCATTTGGTTGAATTTCACAGTATTTCAGCACATTTTGGGCAAACGGTGGCACAGGCAGGGAGTGGGGAGGTGGTGCCAGCCTGGGGGGGGGACGTGGCAGGAAAAACCCTCTGAGGGTTTTCTGTTGCTGCTGTTGGAAGGAGTGTCTCACTGTTTGGTTTGGGGATTTTTTTTTCACTAGGAAAAAATTGAAAAGCACATCGAAGTACATTTATCAGACTCTGTTTCTGAATGGGGAGAACAGTGATGTCAAAATCTGTGCGCTGGGAGAGGAGTGGAACTTGCACAAGATTTACTTGTGTCAGGTAAGTGGCTCCTTTCTAAATCCCAGTAGGAACTGTGCTTTTAGTAAAATAACGTCTGGGAACTGAGCAGTGTGACTGGAGTTTGGTTTTTTTTTTCCCCCTCACATTTAGGACTTCCACTCTTTTTGTAGATGCAACCAGTTAACCAGCTCCTGTTAGCAGGGTTGGGGAGCAGAGCTCTATCTTTGTGTTTGAAAAGCTTCTCTCTCTTCCTGTGTAATTTGTTTTTAATTCTATTTAATTTACTTTATTCTTAGTCTCGGTGCATTCTCTGTGAAAACAGTCCTGAACTTTGTCTTTGGTGTCCTGAGAACATGTTCCTGTTTGCTGATGAGGTGGCTGAGTGGCTCTTGTGGTGTGAATATCCCATCAGGGCAGAGGAGGCACTTGCAGATGGGGTTTGTAAAGCCTGTGGTGCCCCAGTTCGGTTCTCCTGTGCCCCGGGCTCAGGTGCAGGGACCTGCAGGGAACTCGGTGGTGCTGGGTCTCTGTGGCTGTTCTTTGGTTGTTGTGAGCCCTCGTGGAAGGATTTCCTGCAGCTGCCTGAGGAGGGTTTGCACAGGAGCTCCAGAGAGGAGTAAAGTGTGTCCCGAGTTTGTGGAGCTGCTCCTGAAACCTTTGAGTGGGCCGGTGGCTGGAATTGGTTGTGCAATCCCCTCTGTGGATGCAGCTGCGAGGCAGGGTCTGAAAGCTGGGACTTTGTTCTGCAGAGGCCTCGTTGTAGGAGAGATGTTTTTTGGGAGAGCAGCCTCGGGGCAGTTCACTGTTCTCATCAGGCAGGTCCTATTTCAGCTCACGCTCCAGCACTGGAATTATGTTACTGGAGGTAAAATAGTTCTGGAGGTTAGAAATAACTCCATGTAAACGACTTTTAATGCCATTGTGACTCTGAACTGCTGAGCAGACTTTCTCAGCCTGTTTCAGCTGCCCTGGTCCCTCAGTCACTGCCCTGAGCTTGATGAAGGACAGCCAGGTGCTGCTCTGACTGTTCACAGAGAAATGGGGGATCTCTGTTTTCTGGTGCTGTTACTAAAATGGTAAATTCTTGTGCAGATAGGGAGTGATCTCCGTGGCAAAGCTGAGGCAGCCTCGTGAGCAGGGTGTGATTAGTGAGGTGCTGGGTTTGAGAGGAGTGTGTTGTGTGCCATGGTTAGGGATACACTGAGGGTACAGAAATAAAATCAAAACTGGGGGTTTGTGTGATTTGCTGCCTTGGGCTGAAATGCTGAGTGAAGAGGTCAGGGAATGCGGTACA